TATTTTTACTGTAATTCCTGATTCTGATATATTATATTGATACCAAATTGTAAACTATGCCCAGCTGTAATTTTAGGTTCTTTTCTGCTGACAAAAGCAAAACCAGTTACATATAATTCAGTTTATTTTTAGCAATTTTTTTTTACAAGCAACAACTGAGTAAGCATTTTTAATGCAATAATTAAATCTGTCAAGACTCCTTGCCTGTTGGGATGGGAGTGCATGTGGGTCGCTTAAGTCTCTGTTACCCCCCAAAAAGCTATTACCATTGTTAAATTGATATTTGAAGGTCATGATTTTTTTTTCATTTACTCATTCATTCATTCACTTCATTGTCAATATGGTTCATACAACATGAACTAGTTTCTGACTAATTGTAACATTCATTCTGAAATCAGGGAGTTTCCAAGTGTCTGAGGGATCATAGACATCAGCTATAGCTGGTGCATACAGAAATGAGAGAGGAAAGGAGGGGGAATTGTGTTCAATTACAGGAATATTTTTTTCAACTGCCATGACATGTACATCCAAGCTTCTGTAGTGTTTCCTGCAATTTACCGATAACCACCCCCGCCCCACCCCAAAAAGGGAGATATGTAAATAGTTACACACAATTAAAAATAACAAACAATGAAATGAGATATACAGGGAAAGACTGACCTTCAAATATCTACAAAGAGTACAGCTTGCACTTTAATAGTAAAACCAAAAAATAAATAAATAATGATAAAGATAAATAATTATATATCATAATAATTCAATCCTTAGTGTAGTTTTGCTATTTATCTGTTTGATATTGAAGCTGTCAACACCTTTTTACTAGGTTTGTCTGTTTGGGATAGGAGCGCAGTGTCATATCACCTAGCCTTTGTTATGAAAAAAATATTTGTTATGAAAAAAAAATATTTGTTATGAAAAAAAAATTTCATTTCCTGTTTCATTCACACATCCAAAATGAGGTTGCAAAGGAAACATTGCATGTAAGAGAAAACTTTTATTAACTTTATGTACGGACTCCACTCCATGACTCCACAAAACTCCACTCCACTCAACTCAGCCTTTTACCCCAAGCCTTCACGATTATGTAATAATGTTGTGCTGACAGAAAAGAATTAAAGTGACACTGTGACGGACAAACGGGAAAATTGACAACAGTAGAATTTTTGCATGACGCATGCAAAATTTGTTCAGTTCTTGAAGATATTAGGTTTCAGAAAATTACAGGTTTCAGAACCTAAAAAATCTAATTTAATGGAGAAAAATACAAGTAAAAAAATCTGTGTATAACCCATCATAAAAATATTGCTTCACTTCTTCCTCTCTATTGTACGCATGCGCTGAAAAAGTTGAAGAATTTACCGTGGTTTCAATTCCATAGATATAAATGTCGGATGACTGAGAATTTTGATACAATCATCAAAAAAGATGATCTTAACTTATTCCTTACTGCTTGCCCCAATTCAATGTTGTTTACAAGTTTCACGCTAAAAATAAAGGACGCTGACCTTGACATTGACGATAAAAATAGCGATAGATACAACATTAGTTTTTCCGGCACTTATATTTTGCAGTTTTTTTTCTTGCTTTACAGTGCAGTTGAGTTGTCAAAACTTCGCTATATTCATATTTCCGGAAATCTTTTGTTTTGGGATACAATTTTCTTAAAAGAAACACATATGCAACTTTAAATAAAAGCTGTACCGTTCTGCCGTAAATAAAAACTATTGTATCTTGTTACTTTTCAAAAAATATTATATTTCAAGATTCAATATTTATTATTACTCAGAATTCATGATTAGATAGTAATTATAAATAATAGCATTTGAACTAGCGAAGTATAAAAAAAACACCACCTTTCTGAAAGATCTAAATGAAGGCGGATAATTTTGAGATCCACAGAAGAGTATATGAAGTAGTTACCCAATATAATATTGTTGATTTTTTGTCTTATAAATGTAAAATAAATTTTGACTGACTTGTATAATTGAAAAAATGTGATTGACTTCGATGAGACATGTTGATTTGACTTGATTTTTCATATAATGAAAATGTCAATTAAGTAATTCAAGCCTTTTTCGCAAAAGCGAGGGAGCATAAAATCTCATTCGTCTGTCAGTCTGTGACAGAAACTTTAATCTTGATCATAACTTTTGAATGAGAAAATATAGGGCCTTTCTATTTCACTTGTACATTACCTGTGACAAACCTTTCCAAATATACTATGATTTTTGACCCCTTGACCTTGAAGTTTGACCTACTTTTTCAAAAATTTTAACATTACTTTAACCTTGGTAAAAACTTTTGAATGAGAAAAGATAGGGCTTTCATATTTCACATGCACATTAGCTGTGACAAGACCTTTCCAAATATTCTATGATTTTTGACCTCTTGACCTTGAGGTTTGACCTCCTTTTCAAAAATTTAAACATTACCTTGGTCATAATTTTTGAATGAGAAGAGGTAGGGCTTTCATATTTCACTTGTACATTACCTGCGTAAAGATCTTTCCAAATATACTATGATTTTTGACCCCATGACCTTGAAGTTTAACCTACTTTTCGAAAATTTTAACATTAGTTATAATTTTTAAATGAGAGAAGATGAGCGTTCGTTTTTGACATGTGAGAAGATAAGGCATTCATATTTGACATGTGCATTACCTGAGACAAGTTTTCAAATGTATTATGATTTTTAACCCCGTGACATAGACCTTGAAGTTAAATTATTTTTTTTTTAAATTTAACATTGGTGATAACTTATGAATGAGAGAAGATACGGTGTTTATATTTGACATGATCATTAACTGTGACAAGACGTTTCTGTATGTGCTATAATTTTTTGACCATCAAGTTTGACTTACTCTTCAGTTTTTTTTTACATTGGTTATAATTTTTGAAGAGAAGATTAACTTTTATATTTGACATGTGCTTTAACTGTTTCAGGACCTTTCCGAATTCAATCTGGTTTTTAAATTCGTTACCTTACTTAAAGTTTCACCTACAGTCTTTTTACTTTTTTTTTACATTGGTTAAACTATTGAATGAGAGAAGACAGGGTTGTGGTATTTTACGTGTACATTACGAATGACAGCACCTTTCAGAAAGAACCATTGACTTCATGACCTTGACATAGAAGTTTGACCTACTTATCAAAATTTTGATTTTGGCCATAACTTTTGCTCCAGAAGAGACAGGGCTTTTATATTTTTTTTTTTCACATGTGAATTCCCTGTGACAAGACCTTTCGGACTGTATTATGATATTTGACCTCATGACCTTCTTCTGGAAATTTGATGCAGTTTTGAGAAGACTTAAATTTTGTCGTAACTTCTATTAATTAAAAAAATATATATTTTTTGTATGGACACACAAACAAGACAGTTACAATATGTCATAAATAATTGCATCTTAATCGCTTAGACACTGAAAGCGGGGGACCACAATTCTTTGAATTTGCTTGTTCAACTCGATTTTTTTTTTACAATAATTTCAAATATTTCAGAATGCAAATGAATTCGTACATTTACACTAGATGCGATATAAAACTCAATCATTTAAGTTTTATATTGATGAACTGAATTTCCATTGTTTGTCATAAACGATATTTCTCCCACCAAAAGAGCAATCAAGTGTTCAGACTTTGAAGAATTATACCCTAGTGCTGGCATCGAAAAAGTAATATGGTGTATGCCTGTTTACGAGTCGAGCTCAGCTTTAAACATAGTATAATATGCTATTTAAGTTTTGAACTGATTAAAATTAATAACATCAGATGTAATTATACCAACTCACCTAAAACATCTGAATACGTTTTTGAAATATTCATCTGTGTTTGTATTTTTTGTTTGTAATTGTTCGTTTTTTTGTTCATGTAAATCTGTATATTTGTCATATTGTCAGTTATCTCTATTAAGTGGATCCGTTTCAGATTTAAAAAAAAAGGCCCAAGTTGTTACGAAAAGAAAACATCAAGCATGTATCAAAGATTTTTTTCTTCACAAATCTTGATAAAGCATAACTTTGTTCGAATCACGACTACATTTAAAATAGAAAATGAAATATGATTTTCGTACCTTTCAAAATTATTATTTAGTAAATATTCACTATTAAACTAAAAAAAAATCACGCAACAATTGGATTTAGTTAATTCGTTAATGTTTATTGAAGAATCATGTGTCAGATGATGTGAAACAGTTTGATTCAGCCATCCAAACTAAAACATTACAAATTTTTGTGACATGCTTCAAGACATAAAGTCATTCACAAAGGCTAAGGTATATGCCTTTAATACCTTTTTTTCATTTTTACATGCGTCAGATATCAAATGTACTTAGGCCAAGGTTCCTTAATATAAAAATTTTCATTCAAACTTCCGAATCCCAGTTGCAAAAATTGAAATTCTTTAAATCGTGAAGGATTTGATTTGGTGGCAAATTGTTCTGAGTAGTAAAGATTCTAGAATTAATTTCAATGTGTTTTGAATTCAGTCTACCATTTTAGAACTTTTGCAGTATTAAGTTAAAAGACAATCCTCGTACTAAAAACAGCAAATCATTTATAATTTACATATGGTAGTGAGAATCCACTGAATCCAGTAATATTGTTTCCTTATGAAAAGTATTTTGGATTTCTTTTAATTTGTCATTTGAATCATTTCTGCAGAATGGCTTGTGATTTTGCTACAAAGCTCACAGCAACATCACCATTTTCCAATACTCAAGTCACCCATGAAACAAATGCAAGTATCTCAATACTTCAAGTTATTTACCATGTAAACATCACACTTTTTTTAACAATGTAAAAAGCCCTAAATGAATGATATTAAAATTAAATTTCCTGTATTTACTTAAAATCAAAATCGAAATAAAGCTAACATAATAAAACATGTGTAGTAATTGAATATTTATGCATATTCATCAAAGCTAAAGGTTTTAAGTTGAATATCAATACCGAATTTCGACACTATAATTCTTACACTTTTTATTTCTTGCCCAGCTTCGGAAACCAAAGAGATTTTCTGGGGTATTGTTTACTGAAATCAGACAAAAAGATGTTGAAAAAGACAGGAGTCAGAGATGTAAATCAGGTGAGAAAATAGTCAATTCTGACAGTACCAAAATTTGATTAGCATGTCGGACACTCTTCTTTCTTATCATAGGTTTGACAGAAATTTTCATACCTAATATTTTTCATCACTTTCTAAAATTGCAGAGAGTTTTAAACATACATGTGTACACATAAAGAAATGGTACACGATGGATCATTTTCCAAGACTCAAATACCGCCATCAGCAAGTCTGCAAATTGTCGGAAAGAATGAAAAGTATTTCACCAGAAAAAGGAAATTTTCCACTTGTAGACAGCACCACTATTCTTCTTTACGTAGCCGGAGATATCACGAGAAAAACTGAGAGACTAATTGCTTCAACAAAAGGTTTTTAGACGGGGTCACGTGACCCCGTCTATTAGTTTATTGTCAGTTGAGGCCTCAAAACGGAAGCCATGGGGAGAACACATGAATTTAATCTACGCTACATGAAAGAGTGCAGAAATTGTTTCGATTAAAATACTAAAACACTCTGTATCAAACTAAAGAGAGCCATATGAAGTTTTTGTTACTCAAATTAAAGAACCGTTTTGAAAATTTTTAACGTGAAAAACATAATGCTGAACCACTGTAGTATACAAACTTCTCGGCTGCGTAATGCAAGACTGCGTACATGTACGCATCATCGATTGTTTTCTTCCGGAAATGTCATATTAATTCGGACTCAGTGACATTCGGACAATTCAAAAAGGTTTCTTGACTAGTGGCTACTGATTATTCTATTACAGTGTAAATAAATTTTAAAAAAACATGCAGATAAATTTTTCACAGTTTTTTTTTTTAATATTAATGTTAATATCAAATTATTAAATATTAAATTATGAAAAAAATATTATGAAAAAAATTAGATAAATTGATATGGCTAGTAGAATTAAAATCTTAATAGACTAGATTCTTTTTAGAGGGGGCATATAGCCATTTAAAATTCTCTATGGGAAGTGGCATTGAATAGAGTTCGTTCAAATCACCGACCTCGAGGCTAATGTTGACCGATATTTATACATGTACATACATATGTAGGGACTTAATATTTACACAGGAATTTATAAAGATAGTCTTACATTTTCAAACCCTAATTGGCTCCCGTGCGAATATAATCATCTACAATTAATTAAAAATTGAAAATGTGACTTGCTTTACCTTGATTATTACTATTATGAGAAAATTCATGAACGGAATCAAACCCAACTCAAAACTGAATGATTTCGTTTCAGTGTTGCAACACACTCAGGTAACCATTCAGGTTCCAAAACTCTTAGATTAAAGATAGTGAAACATTTCCCTGTTTGACTGCATAAATTCGAGTCGTACAAAATTCCTTTAATTTTTCTAGTCAGCTTATTTTCTTTTTTTAAAGTCCTTTAATACATTATATCATATACATTCTTCATCATGACCATTAATGTTAATCGGCCTCTTTTTGGATATATAGGAAATTGTTATACCTTTAAAAATTGTTTCCTATATAATTCTATACTTAAAAAAAGTCTAACATTTCCAATGTTTTACTAGCGGTCATAAATTAAAAAAAAATCGATGTTTGACCGCAGAGCGAGATATTGGACCTGTCGATGAGATTTTGGACCGCTTACGTCACGGGGGGGGGGGGGTTCAGCTGTATCTTATTTGCATTCGTTGGAGTTCGACAGAACTTTAGTTTAAACCGCAGTGCGGGTAAAATAAATTTAAATCATGATATGTCAAAATAAAAAGTAAAAGGTATAACAAAACATTTATTGACTGTGTTCTCGGACAAAATGCGTTTTGTCGACCCCTCGAATCAATATAGGAAAATGTAGTTTTTCTGCTCCTAATTGGTCTGCAGAATAAAAATGAAAGTTCCGAGACCTTATTGCATATCTGCAGGACAACACCAATCATATTCCGGAATATGCTTTAGTTACTATACTTCTTAAAATATGAGAAGAGTTCTGGGAATATTGTTTTTGTAGAAAAAGCCCCCCCCCCCCCATTGGCCTTCTTGGTAAAAATAAACATTATAAAGCCTTTAGTACTTCCATATATATATATATTTTTTTAGAAAAATGAATTGGCTTCCTGGATGAAAATCAAAACTCCGAAATATTGTTTGCATTTCTACAGGACACCACCAATATATCCAAAAAGATATCTCTACTGAAATATAAGTGAAGTTTTTAAAAAGGAAAATAGCGTATTACATAAATGAATATCTACTTCTGGTTGCACTATGTGCTGCGTTACTATCATCAATAAGTATTCCGGTAGGATTAGACTGATAAAATCAGCACATGGTCAGTATAGCTAGCAAGTCTCAGCAAGTATAAGCAAACAATCAATTTATCCAGCTATGCAATTAAGAAAAGGAGCATTTCTGCTGAAACAGAAAAGCTGCCAAGCTCTCTCTCTCTCTCTCTCTCTCTCTCTCCCTCTCTCTCTCTCTCTCGTGTGTGTGTTTAATCTATGTATCTTATTTTTCAGATGAAGGATTCAGCTATGATTCAATAGATCAAAAGGAATGGCCTGTTTCTGCGCTTATTTATTTTCAAGGTGAAAATGAACCACTGACCGGAATAAAAGAGGTACTCATTTTTTTATTTATTATTATTTTTTTTTTCCTTATACATTTTTTTCCGAATGTTGAATTTTAGAAACAAATGAAATGTTTCTTTTGAGCAGCTCATCGAATCATTCGAGTCAGTGAGTTGGACAAAGGTTTTTATAGTTGGAAGCAAACATTTGAGGTCATCTGAACCTTGTGTTAAGTCCACATATACTATTCTACATAGAACAAAGACATCAATTCGAGAAGCCATCACCTCCTTCCTAGAGTCCCCATTGATGGAATGCATTCAGAACTTTCAGAAGTTTCTGGAAAAATTAGAACTTGGTCACCAAGTAATGAGGAAAGAGGAACTATCAAAATTAAAGAAAGATTGCAGATCGGTTTTCTTGCTCATGTCACCGGAGATAAATTCAACAAATAGAATTCCAGATTCCCTCAGAAAATTTCTTTTCCAGTATGTTAAACATGTCACATTTTTAAATCTTAGCTTTAACCTGGCCCAAGACCATAAACTGAGAACAGGCTTCAGCCAGAATTTTAAATTTATATAACTTCTGAAATAATGAAGAAAATAAGATAAAATTTTCATTATATGATTTTATTTTAAAATTTTACAAAAATGAAAATTTTCAAACATGTTTATTGAATAAAAGCAAGATATTCAAATTCTAAATTTTGACTTAAGTCTGTTCTCAGTTTATGGTCTTGGGGCCCCAAAGTATATTTGACCCATCAAAATACAAAAGTTTAACGAAGTTAAATTAAATAAAATTCTGATTTCGCTCTTTCTTGTTTGTTGGAAACATATGGGTAACTATTTCATCATTATTCAGTGTTGTCAAAATTAAAATGATCTGTTTGATTTTTATTCTTTCATATTTAGGCGACCTGGTATTCATGGCTTTGGAATTTGGGAGGCGTCAGAATTTCGAATATTTGTGTCAAGTGACACAGACACTAAACTTCTGAAATCAGAAATATGTACAATTTGTGTCAATTTTTTTGAAAAGATGAAACTGAGTATAGTGAGTGGTAACATGCATTTGAAAAAATACACAAAGCAGGGAGAGAAACTCTTCCTAAAATCGGAACGAGAGGATTCGTACGCAACAACAGGTGCGTTGCTGAAGAATGAACAGGGTTCTGACGACATTTATGGATTAACTTGCCATCACGCTTTACCTCGGGAAGAGCAAAGAGTATTTGCAAAGTTCCCGGAATCTTCCAATCCGTTTAAAATTGGAGAATGCATTTATACAGATAATGAACCTAACCACGATTTTGCTGTTTACCGAGTTGATGAAGACAAACGTAGGATGTGTGACACAACCTTTCTGAATGCTATGAACAATCCTTGCAATGTTTATATTCAAGAAGGACAAATTTCTTCAGATGCACTTGTTCATAAGAAGGGAGCTTCGACTGACTGGACTACTGGTAGAATCAAAAGTTCCGAGTTTTATGTCCCATTATTCGGAAAGCAGTCTGAAATGTTTCTTGTTTCAAGTTCTGAAATACCGGGTAGTTCCTTTTCTGCAGAAGGAGACAGTGGGTCAGTTGTTTTTCAACACGACAGCTCTCCCAACCAGAAATCCGTATTTGCGTTAGGGTTAGTTACTGGAAAGATAGATGATGTCAGAGATGAAAGTCTATCCGAAGCCGTAAATTCTACATTATGCTTACGGCTCAACACCGCTCTTTCGTGTCTTTCAGAAAAAAAACAGCTAGACTTAAAGTTTGAAAGCTCGAGTCGTGAATCATCGAGCTCAGATGAAGTTGATTAAGAACGTTTTGCTTATATCAGGCATGTCTTCTCGTCCAAATACGAATTATTACTATATAATATTATATAAAATAACCCATCTATAAAATAACCCATATATAATGTTGCCACTTATCATAAATGGTACAAAAATTGCGCTGAAATTTTGAGTGATCCCATCCTACATGCATTTTCATTACTTACATGCATTTAGAGGAGACGAGTACTTTATTTGATAGAAGAAAACGTGTACCTTTTTCACCTATTTAATTTCAAAGTTATTTTGTCATCGTGTTTTCAGAAAAAAAACTAAGAGAACTCAGAAAAGAGCTTTTCTATTCAAAGTAACACAGTGACGCAAAAATAAAAATTAGAAATTTGGCATGGAAAATGCAAATTTTGTTTAATTCTTGAAAGTACCAGGTTTTGTAAAATTGCAAGTTTCAGAACCTTGAAAATCTACTTTTATGGAGAAAAAAATTAGCAGAACAATATTGCTTCGCTCCTTCCTCTCAATTATGCACGTAACGCAGAAAACATGAATAGGTTATCATGGTCTCAAGTCCCCAGAAGTGGAATGTCGTTAGACCAAGGATAGTCCTAACGTTTCCATACCGTCAGGTACTGGCGTTAGTAAGTAAATTTACCCATATTAAATTCAGATTCTCTTAAAGGACTTGTAACTTGCATGTCAACATAATTATCTTGGATGTTGACATAATTATCTTGCATGTTGACGTAACTTTTTTTGCTTGTAGGGGGCAGAAATATGCTACCATAATATTATACAGACATGGTTTTTTTTTTTGTTTTTTTGTTTTTTGTTTTGTTTTTTTTTGAAAGAAATGAATCTGTGATTTTTTTATGTGATATTTTTCTTTAAAAAAGTATTCTTTGATATATACATAAATATTGATCTCATGTTAAATAAAAGAAATGGAAATATTTTCAGTTCTCTGGCCTGTAAAAGGCTGCAATATTCCATGATTTTGTGATGTGTGTTCAATATCTTGAGTGATGTATATTCAATATATTGTGATGTGTGTTCAATATCTTGTGTGATTTATATTCAGTATATTGTGATGTGTGTTCAATATCTTGTGTGATGTATATTCAGTATATTGTGATGTGTGTTCAATATCTTGTGTGATGTATATTCAGTATATTGTGATGTGTGTTCAATATGTTGTGATATATATTCGAAAATCGTGTGATGCATTCTCGATAATCTTGTGGTGCATATTTTATACATATTTTATATCTTGGGATGCATATTTTATACCTTGTGATGTGTATTCGATAATCTTGTGTGATTTATATTCTTTATATGTTATGATTATTCGATTATCTGATGTAAATTCAATATTTTTTAAAAATTTATATTCAATATATATACATGTACATATATACATGTACATCAATAAATTGTTATGAATATTCTGTATCTTGTTAATTTAAAAATCTATTGATGTACTAGCATGATCAATGTCTTGTTAAATAATTTTAATTTCGATATACTTTTTAAGAGATATTTTCATTGGTCTCCAAAGTGAAAGTATACGTGCCTTTTGTAAAGAATACACAGATAAATAATTAAAGCTTACTAACAATTACATGTAAATCTAGAACGCTGAACAGAACCAGTTTTAAATCAAAATTATTCTGTAGTGTGATTTTTAAATTCACTCCTACAGCATTTGATTGAATCCCGCTGCTAAATGTGGAGGTTGGATAACGTTACACGTTAATATACTACATCTACGGTATAGCTTAGTATAAATAAAATATTAGACCCTCCAAACCCCAGCTTACCCCTAGGCACCCTCGACTTTCGGCGCCCAAACATATGGGAACAGGGTTTAATCCCAATTAGAGTTTTTGCTTTGGCACCATATCTGAACCAAAGTCCAATAAGGAATGTATCAAATGATATACTGAAAGGATACTAAAAGCGTAAGTTCAAGAATTTTTTATTTTTATTTTTGTTGCTACCGCGAGAACGTTGTTTGCGGCGAGATGCAATTCGCTAAGCATTATGGGACCATAGGTAACTGCGGGAAAAAAATCATTTGGATCAATGTGTACAGCCCAGGCGTTGCTTTAAGAGCTCGCAGTGACGAGGAAACAAGGGTTATTGCTGCATGGCAGTGTGTACGTGTTAACAGGTTAAATTGACGAGGACAGTGGTACATACTATCATTCCAATAACAGCATGTCACTTTGCTTGATCAAGCGTGCTAGTTTCACAAATTGATTACCATATTACTCATCGATTGGATGTTTAATTTGAATGAAATCAATGCTACTTTGCATAAGAAACACAGAATCCAACAATACCCCGATAACACTGGCCAATCATATTGAATGATTGTTTACCAGTGCGGCAGTCAGCAGCAACACGTGGTCAGTCAAAGACCGTTTTCTATCCTCAAAATAATATGTGTCATATTTGTTGTGATTTTACCGAATGGAGTTAATACATGTACGTATGAGAAAATTTAAAGCATGAAATAAGTAGGCTATACTCTGCTACTATTATACTATATAGCGATAAATATCATCATTAAAAGGATTAAAACTTGCTTTGCCTGTCCACATGTGATTATTGTTTACTGCATTCTCGTGAACAATCATTCAATACGATTGATCAGTATTGCTGGGTTCTGCAAAGTAGTATTGCTTTCATTGAAATAAAACATCCAATCGATGAGTAAGATGGTAATCAACATGTAACACTTTATCATGCTCGATCAAGCAAAGTGACACGCTGTTATTGGAATGATAGTATTTATGTACAAAACACAGCATCGAAATTTTTTTCACTTATTTTAACTTGCCAAGTTGACAGTGGTGTATTTGGTCACACTTTTTCCTATCATAGCGAGCGCAGCGAGCTCTCACGACAACGCCTGGGCGAAGAGAAAAATGCATCGCTTGTTTAAGCTACATTCTCGCGAGAATAAAAACAACAGTTTAACAAAAAATATTTACATTTCCAATGTCTTTGTCCGAGATAAAATTGCAAATTGTAAAAATACTTTATTTCTACATAAATCTACTGGTTCATCGATAGGCGCGGTTAGAAAAAAAATCACGTGCGGGGCGGGACAAATAGAGACAGAAGCGGGGCTGTTAGCACGGGAATTTGCAGAATCAGGAGCATGTAAATATAAGGAATAACTGTCAGATTTTTTGGATTCATGACGATGATCAATCGATTGGCTTGCGTGATAATTTTATGCATAAACGCCTTCGGCGTTTATGCAAATTATCACGCAAGCCACTCGATTGATCACATCATGAATCCAAAAAATAAGACAGTTATTCCTTAAATAAACTCGCCTTGATTTAATGAATATATTGCAGAATATTTACATTTGCAAATGTTTTCCCTTATATAACACTATTTGAACAAGGCGTTTTTACACCTGTGTAAAACACGTTCGTCATGTGACCATAAATTGATTGTTTAGTCATAAACGATCTACGTAATTTCATAGTGACGTCATAAGTGATCGACGTGTTCAACACATTCAAGTTATACCGTTGAGTTTTGAAAAAAATAAATCATTTATGGGTTTAAAACTTTAGTACCTTACTATCTGTTATAAATCAGTCACAAATGTAAATACATGTATAAGTAATAAGGTATCATTTAAAAGTTTTATCGGGATGTAATAAATAATATTTTCTTTGCTAATTTTGGGCAACCAAGTTTTGCATTCGGACAAGTCAAAGTTTGAGATGACTTGCCCGAAGGGCAAGTGAATCTGAAAGTTAATGTCTATCCCTGAGTGCGGTGTGAAATATATAGCTTCTGTTTCAAAGTTGATATGATAATTCAGTTGGGTCCTGGTGCAGAGTTAGGTAAGGTTGATATGAAAAGTGCATTTAGGTTACTTACAAAATAACCTGGGGACTTTGAACTGCTAGGATTTAGATTTAGAGATCAATAATATTTTGACAAGTGTTTGCCCATGGGATACTCCATTTCTTGTTCAATTTTTGAAAAGTTTTCAACATTTTTGCAGTGAGTTATTACGAAAAAAATCTGGTTTAAGTACAGATGGGCACTATTTAGATGATTTTTTCTTTGCGGATAGGAGTGGATCGGCGGATTGTTTGCAACTAATGACAGTTTTTCAGGAAATTTGCAATGATTTTGAAGTTCCTTCAGCGGTATAGACAAAACGCAAAAACACAGGGTCCACTTATTTGTTTAGTATTTCTAGGGCTGGAAATGGACAAGTGGTTAGAATTATAAAGATCCCTAAAGAAACAAGAGGTCCAAGGGCCTTAACGGTCACCTGAGTATAATACAACACTGTAAAGGATCCATGGAAGTATAAATAAATTAACTGATAGACGAACCAATGTTGCCCAAGAATTTCAAATATACGTAATCAAAGATTACGAAGCTCACCTCGACGAATGATATCTTTCAGTACTTGGCAAATCTCACATCATATTTTTTCCTAGTTTGTGTACATCCCAAGATCAATATCCATGCAAATTTGGTTTAAGTAGAACTTATAGTTACTTGGAAAAAGACCTGCTCAAAAAACTTTTTTACTGTTTACTAATCAAGAAATTATGGTCTGTTCCAACATCCAAAGCAAGTCTGGAAGTTTGCATCCTTAGATGCACCATCTATGCAAGTATAATCATAACAGGCCATAATATTATATAGCTACTCCAAAAAAATTACCCTGGTCACTCATCTAGAAAATGAAGGTCAGATTCAGAATCCAAAGCAAGTCTGGAAGTGTCCCTAAATACATCATCCATGCTAATTTGGTTTCAATATGGCTAAAATTCACTCATGTGGAAAATCTAGGTCGGATCTAGCATCCGAAGCGTAGATCCAGAATCTGAAGCAAGTGTGGCAGTGAACATCCCTATATGCATCATCCATCAAGTTTAGACCAGGTAGGACTTTTAGTTACTTGGGAATGGACTTGCTCCAAAAACATTAACTTGGTCACTCATCTGGAAAATCTAGGTCAGATTTAGCATCCGAAGCAAGTGTGGTAGTGTCCATCCCTAGATGCAACATCAATTCAAGTTTGGTCCAGGTAGGACTTAAAGTTACTTGGGAATGGACTTGCTCCAAAAACTTTAACCTGGTCACTCATCTGGAAATCTAGGTCAGATCCAGCATCCGAAGCGAGTTTGGAAGTTTCCATTCCTAGATGCATCATCCATGCAAGTTTGGTCCAGGTAGGGCTTATAGTAACATGGGAATGGACTTGCTCCTAAAACTTTAACCGGGACGCCGACGCCGGGTGTATAGCATAAGCTCATTTTGACTTCGTCGAGGTGAGCTAAAAATCTGGTAAAAATACCCTTGCTTATTGTAACGTGCTAGACCCGAGTGATCTCCTTTGGATCATACTTGGTTTTCCCAAGTCTTACAGGGATGATATGCAAATACAAAGGACACTTGCCTATTGTGTAAGGTATTCAATATATACAGATATGTTTTTGCTACAATTCAATACACACAGACGTGGGTATGCAACTTGGCTATTTGCCACTTGTCACTAATTACAATAAATTACCCTGGATCTCTGTGATTCTTTGTTCACTTTGATAAAGATTTAAACAACATCCAGTCTCTTGTCACCTATGACTCTTCTACCAGTGACTAGATAACTTAGATCACCACAGTGTAAACATACTGTGTACAATTACAACTTTTGCTAAATATATAAATAATCTTTATGTCAATCTTTTATATTGCTCTCCAGGCAAGAATCTGACTTTAAGTATACTTTGCTCATTTAAACCAAACATTCATTTTTATTTTGTTTCTATATATATAACATTCTTTCTTATATTCTCATTCAATCAAATAACCTGTTGATTAAATTATATACAAGGATTTCTTGATTAACAATATTTAGCAAAGGGGAGTAACTCTCATTTGCTTCACATCACAATTGTGTACTCTGCCTCCTAGATACCCAGAAGCAAAGAAAAGGCATATTTACTTATAATTATATTTAATACATTTTCATTGATATTATTGCTTTTAGTTTGTTTGCTTTGTACTCAGGGGAAGAGGAGAAGTTTTTCAAAGCATTAATGGATTTTGCTAATTAATCAATAGAACCCCACTCAAGTGCAAGATACCCTGACCCAGGCGCCATGAAATTCAATATTTTGGAAGAGGCATACTTTTTCATCATAACTATGTATTTAGTTTGTTTAATTAATACCAAGGGGCAGAGGAGAAGATTTTCAAAGCATTAATTTATTTTCAGTATATAAAAAATAAGCCCCCCACATGGAACCCCTGACC